ACTGCTTAGGACTCTTATCTATGAAGAATTCAATTGAAATGTCATTATTAGAGGTTAACATTAGAGACGCCTAATTTCCTTACCAAATTTGTTTTGCCAAATGATGTATACACGTCAATATCTTAGTTGTTAAAAGTAAAAATGGCACCGAGAGTAGTCCTAGGAGACCAAACTTAGCCTAACATGACCTTATTTATTTCTTGTTGTTCCTCAGCAAAGAGCAAGTGCCTCCATCTCCAATTCTCCATCATTGGCAATTGGTTGGGACAAGTTAATGTCAGCCGCACCATAGATAGCAGCGGAATTAGCAATTAAGGCATGTCTATAATGGTCCACAATCTGCGTTGAATGACAGTCAGGACATTCACTTACCAAAACAGTCCAGGTTTCATATCTCTGGGTATATACAGGTTTTAATCACTTACCAAAACAGTCAAGATTTCACATTTTTAGGCCTAAAAACAGTCAGGTTTTCAATTTACCGTAACAATCAAGTTCTCACACCTCCATCAAAGGATCTGGTTTCATTACAAGGAAACATGAATTCAGGTATTTATAGTAGTACTAATGTATATATTTTCTGGGGGCTGACTGATGATCAGGGATTCAATTGGGAATCAAGCAAGAAAGGAGGATGGTACAACTCTTTAAGACAGTCTGTACCTTAACTAGCTACTTCCGGGATTACACATGTTTGGCTTCCTCCACCTTCTCATGCTATTTCACCTGAAGGTATTTACCTGTCCGAAAACTCTCTCTTGATCCTTGTCAGTTGTGCAAACCACATTTTGTTTAAAGTTGTTAAGCTCAAAGATGATCGCCGAACTAGCACGCAAGTCCGCTACAACACTTTGATCCAAATTTTTTTATTCTATTCTTGAAAGCTTGGGCCCGTTTGGTAACGTTTTCGGAGAATGTTTTCTTAGAATATTTTCAGAGAATGAAAACAAGAAAACGAATTTGCATTTTCAGGAAATGAAAATGCGTCTGGTAGATTAATTAGAAAACATTTTCAGAAAACAAAAACAATGAAAACATGTTTAGTAGTACAATTTGAAATAATAATATGTGAGTTATTTTTATGAAAATGTTTCCCATGAGAATAAAAACAACTTTTTTCTGTTTTCTACAAGTACACAAACTTGTTTTCATTTTATGAAAACATTATCAGTGTTTTTTGTTTTTGGGCCACTGAACGTGTTTTTGCCTCAATTTTGTTCTCTGAAAATGAAAACAACCTCTGAAAACGTTACCAAACGGGCCATCAAAGAAACAACAGATAAAAGAGTCACATTCAACATCAAGGGTCCTAATACCCTTAGCCCAAGCCATTTGCAAACCTCTAAGGAGACTCCATAACTCAGCCTCTAAAGGAAACATGCATTTAAATTTAAACTCATGGATTTTAAGCTACAACATACATGAATCAAACATTCAAAGAGGCGGAAGCGACTTTTAGATCTTATTAAGCCTAATGCTACCAAATTCCAAGTATCTTTCTAGGTCTAATCTCACTTATGCACAAAAGAAAAGGGAGGAAAGGATGAGACTTTCTTATCCTTGAAGCTCTCTTGGATGGTCTCCAAGTTTTCACCTTTGGAAATACCTTCTTCCTTGTTGCTTGCTTCATAGTCTTCACAAGGTACCAAAGTAGATACCCTCTAGTTCATACACACAACGTAGTGTAAGAGATGAAGAAGATGACTAAGAGGAGGTAAGGTGCTAGCCCTCTCCTCTTGGTGGCCGGTTCTAGCATGGTAGAGTGGAGATTTCTCTCCTCTCAAACCCACTCCAAAGTTGGATTCTTCAAACCCTAGAAAGAAAACAGTCTAGTGTGGCTTATATAAGCCAATACAAAAGATGGAGAAAAACCCCATCCTTGTATTTTAGCCATAGTGTTTCTTGGGCTCATTTAACTTATGTTGTCATACAACACATGTTCTCTTGGGCTCATTTAATTCCCATTGTTTTAGATCTTGAAAATAGTTTGGAGTTCAATACCAAACAAGTTTATGATCTTAAAATCACTCTTGAAAACTCATGTTTTTAACAAGAATCATAGTTTTTGAATTTACTTTTTAAAGTAGGATACCAAACAGGGCTTAAAGCTCTTGAAATATTAAGGCTTATTTTATGATATGCCCCCTGAAGGTGTGTTTGAGTCTCACTTTGCCCCTAAACTCATTTTGTCTCATTTTACTCCTTTTTTCACACATATTTGTCTCACTTTGTCTAGATTCCGGCGAGGCCAACAATTTCCGGTCAAAATATTAATTAAAAATTAAAAACTCAATTAATATATATTATGTTTTAAATATTTAATCTTATTTAAAATTGAGTTTTTAATTTTTAATTAAAATTTTGACCAGAAATTGTTGGCCTCACTGAAAACGAGGCAAAATGAGGCAAATATGTGTGGAAAAGGGAGTAAAGTGAGACAGAATGAGTTTCAGGGGCAAGGACGAATTCAGGCAAGTGGGCTAATATTTTTCTTGGCTATGGGGACTCCAAGTAAAATAATAATAATAATATAATAACATTAAAAATATTTCAAAATCAGAAAGTAACAAATAAAATAATAAAATAACATCTTAAAAAAAATATATAAAACAAACCTTTCTCCTTCTCTCAGAAATACTATGCAGCTAGAAGAAGCAATTCAAATGCAATTCAACATAAGCAATCCAAACTACAGAGGGACCAGACCAGCCACTATTTAACCTCAAGCCCTGGAGTTTCAACTTCAAAACCACCTTAATTAGTTGATACTTGTAAAAATATTTAAAATAGAGCCAAAGAAGAGGGGTTTACAGTTTATTTTGGCAAAAAAGGAAAGGGGGTTTACGACTACTAAGGAACATAGAGCATGAAGAAATTATTAAATTTTCATGTTGGCAGACATTAAATATTTTCCATGTTTGTTTTGATAGTAATTTATTATTACTACCATGTTATTTGTTCCAAAAGCAATCATAAATGTGTGGTTTTTTTAGTCAAAAGAGGTGACCTAATATTAAACAAAAAACAATCATAGGCCAGGAGACGAAGAGATTGTGGGCTAATATTTTTTGGAGTAGGATTAGCTTATAAAATTTGTACTAAGTTTAGTATTTTAAAAATTTTACACCATACTAGAGCCCAGCGTAGCCTGTACATGGATCTGTTCTTATTCAGGGGGGCAAAGTGAGACTCAAATACATTTTCAGGGGGTATAAAAAACAATAAGCCAAATATTAATACAGAGAGAGAAAATGGAATGGGAAAGTCAATAAAAAATTAATTACAATATATCATTATATTAAAAAAATATATAAAAAAATAAGTTTGTTTAGTTTTAGCCATTCATTCATTGTACTCTAACCTAATGGTTGAAAACTTATGTCAAATAAAAGAAGGATAATTATCTGGTAAAAGAATATTTTTGTTAAAAAAATTGATTCTATGATGATGTTAGTAGGGTTTAGTTTCCACATCATCAAACTGCTCGGCAATTCATCATCCTTGACAATTTGACATTTGGTCGTCCAAAATATCCAATAAGGCCTTGTTTCTTTATTGCTGATTCAAAGACATTCGAATATTTTAAAAGTATACTCTTTAAATATATTCCAGACGAACAAGAAGCTTGCATCACAGAGTACGGAACTTGCACTCGCAGTCGAGCCGTTTCGCTTCTCTATCAACTCAAGCTTCGATTTGTTTTCTTTGGTTTCGGCTGCTTCGTCCCCCGGGTTCGGCAACGAAAAAAGACCCAACCCGCCTAGCTACCGCCTAGCCGCCTAGCGACCGCCTAGCATCCTCGCGCCCGCCTAGCGACCGCCTAGCCGCCTAGCGACCGCCTAGCGACCGCCTAGCCGCCTCGCGCCCGCCTAGCGACCGCCTAGCAGCATCGCGCCTTCCTAGCGACAGCCTAGCCGCCTCGAGCCCGCCTAGCGACCGCCTAGCTGCCTCGAGCCCGCCTAGCGACCGCCTAGCAGCATCGCGCCTTCCTAGCGACAGCCTAGCCGCCTCGAGCCCGCCTAGCGATCGCCTAGGCACCTAGCCGCCCGCCTAGGCCGATTTTTCGAACACTACGATTGACTGAAAGTCTGAAACTACAATGGCCTCTTTCAGCGTCCTTTGGCTTCTTTTGCAGTCTATGCTTTCTCAGTTGCTTCTGGTTTCATGTGTCCATGACTCAAAATGCTACTACCAATCCATCTGAAGGTACTAGCCATCTCTCAGGTATATCATAAATACGTTATGTGATGTGTACGCAATGATTGAATTGAGAATGCAGTGCCGGCGTTGATCTCAATATTCAAGCAATGGGACATGCAAGCCCTGCCTATCAGTGGAGGAGAGCAATGCATTGGATTTGCCATCAATGGAAGCGAGTTTGAAAAGCTATCCAGCCATCACTTGTGACTGTACTTGTGACAAAAATACTACCTGCCACATCACCAAACTGTATGTTATTACCCTCCCCTCTCTCTCTCTCTCTCTCTCTCTCTCTCTCTCTCTCTCTCTCTCTCTCTCTCTCTCTCTCTCTCTCTCTCTCTCTCTCTCTCTCTCTCTCTCTCTCTCTCTCTCTCTCTCTCTCTCTCTCTCTCTCTCTCTCTCTCTCTCTCTCTCTCTCTCTCTCTCTCTCTCTACTTCTCTGTTGTTTGGTTTAGTGCAGTTTACATTTTCATATAAAAGACACTGGTTTCTTACCGTTCAAAATTGTCACGAATATTTTTTATACTTAGAGATTAATCGCTGGTCATTGCATTTTGTTTCAATTCTTGTAGGAAACTTGATCTGAACTATTTCACCGGTCCCCTACCAGCATTCATCGGCAATATGTCTGCGTTGACAGTATTGTAAGTAGTGAAACATAGACTCCCAAGTGAGTTATACACCATATGGCCAAAGAAGCACATAGTACTATACATAAAATTACTCTGTTTTTATCCTGAATTATAAACGGGTGCTAATATCTTTAATTGATATTTCCATTCAGGTCAATTGCCCACAATTTATTCTCTGGGCCCATCCCCAAGGAGCTTGGAAACCTTAAGGAGCTAACTATGCTGTAAGCAAAGACAACCGAGAAATGATCTATGGGACATGTTAAATATAGAACCCCCTATCATTTAATTCTATACCTCTTCAACATGACTTGTTGCAGGTCCTTTGGATCAAATAATTTCTCCGGAACACTCCCTCCAGAACTTGGTAACTTAGTCAATCTCGGGCTATTGTGAGTGCTTCATTTAACTCATCGAATTTGAATCAC